TTTAAGAAGAACTCCACTACCTCGAAGTCTCTTTATAGGTCTTGAGGAGTGCTACTGCATATGTGAAAAGAGCTGTAGAAATCCTTTTGTGGCTCCAGAAGGAGTCTGTGAAGCTTGATAAATGGCTCAGGCTGAACGCTACAAATCTGGAGCGCACTACTCATCTCTGCTTGAGGCCAGTGGCTCTAGGCTGTAGCACACACACACCCAAATTTCCAACCAAACTGACAGCAGTGAAGTTGAATTGTGGGTAATATAGGTACCAGGTTTTGACAAGGAAGAATAATGTATGGAGTAAAAATAACATCTCTGCATCTGCTGCTTTTAAGCTATTCATCTTGAATTGCACAGTATCACAGAAGTGCACTGCTAACTCAGCAGAGCGCTCTTTTAACCATGTAGTTGTTAACACTAACCAAATCTTGACTCTAGCTCAGAAAGCTGAAAAAAAGGCCATATGAATAACTTTTACTTGTTGTGAGTGGATAGTATTATATTGTTTTTTATTTTTAATGCACAGCAGCAACATGGAGTCAGCAGAGAGATGACCAGTGTGACATAATTTAGCTTTTATGGCACAGATACATTTATATAATATAGCTTTCATACAAAAATTTAAATCTGAAAATTCAAATAAGTCTGTCTTTATTCAGTTATTTATGAGACACAGAAATAATGACATAAACAATAAATTGAGCTTTGCCCTGTATGTAAATTTGTCATCAAAAGCATGTTTGGGAGATTTTTTTTTATATTTACATGCATATCAGGATTTATTAACTAATCTGCAGAAAAAAAACTATTTCAGGGCTCTGCAGAGTTGCCATAAGAAGCTGAAACTATCTCAAGCTGCTGCTTTCTTGACATGTACTTTCTTGCAATATTGTTCTATAAACAAAGAGTTTTGTGGTTTGATGTAATGATTGTGGTTTTCCAGGTTGAGTAATATTTTCCAGAACATTAACCAAGCTGTGCCAAAAGCAACTGCTTCCACTGTGGCTCCCATTTGCTTCTGCAAGTTAATCCATTCAACAGAGAAAAACACTTAGTCTGATCAATTGAAAGTGCCAATGTTCTCAGTCTGACTGCGTCACTGACTGCCCCCTCCTACTCCAAGCTCACACACACACACACACACACACACACACACACACACACACACACACACACACACACACACACACACACACACACACACACACACACACACACACATACACACACACACACACTGTTTTGACACACTGCAGGAGTTGTTGCAGAGCAACTTTCCTGAAGGTCACAGCTCCAAAACACTAAAATAAACTCCACAAATTAAACAACCAGGGAGTGTCTTTGATTGAGAATTGTTAGTGATGACGGTGCTGAACTGTGACACATTCTCCTGTAAAGCCTTTGTAAAACTAAATTAACAAATCTGATATAACGTATTTTGCATTGTACTGGGACAGTGTCCTTGGTAGAAATAAAAAAATTTTCCAAACAAAATCAGACTGAGAGGCCATTTCCTGATGAGTATGAAATCGCTGGACTACTCTAATGTCATTTTACAGCAGAAACACAGCATCAACAGCACTCATCAGCACAAAATATGGGATCAGAGGAATGGTTCTGAAATGGATTAAAAGTTATTTGACACAGAGGCGTCAATTTGTGAAGTTGGGTGAATATCAATTGAGTGAGCTGGATATTGTATGTGGAGTGCCTCAGGGTTCTGTTTTGGGACCTAAATTATTTATATTATACATTAATGATATATGCAAGGTTTCTGATTTAGTGAAAGTGGTTTTGTTTGCTGATGACACTACCATATGGGCACCGGGTGAAAACCTACAGCAACTCTCTGGAC